TTGAAAGTCGAGCATGCAAACAAACCCACCATTTTGTGTCGAAAGGAACTCACTTTTTTAATCTCTTTGTAGAGTTCCAATTGTAGCCGAGGGAGACTAGAATCCATCAGCGCCTAAAAGGGAATCAAGAGCGCAGATCAACCATGCATTCATTTAACCAACATTCTGGGTTAAAGTAGCAGGTTTATTTATTACAATGGTTTTTAGCCCCTGAACAGCAACAAAGCATAGCCCTAGAGCAGGGGTAGGCAACCTGGGCTCTTTTATCACTGGTGGACTTCAACTCCCAGAATTCCTGAGCCAGCATGGCTCAGCTTGGAAACCTCTCCCTTTCCCCTCAGCATGGCTGGCTCAGGAATTCTGGGAGTTGAAGTCCACCAGTCATAAAAGGGCCAAATTTGAAGACCCCTCAGTTAGAGGAACATATGAAAGCATAATTAATGTTAATTAATGTAGAGTTTATTAGTTTAGAGCAGGGGTAGGCAACCTTGGCTCTTTTATGACTTGTGGACTTCAACTCCCAGAATTCCTGAGCCAGCATGAGGGAAACTGGCTCCTTCATGACTTCTGGACTTCAACTCCCAGAATTCCTGAGCCAGCATGGCTCAGCTTGGAAATCTCTCCCTTTCCCCTCAGCATGGCTGGCTCAGGAATTCTGGGAGTTGAAGTCCACCAGTCATAAAAGAGCCAAGGTTGCCTACCCCTGGCCTAGAGAGAGCTTGGATACATAAGTGTTTCTTATCTCTACTCTTTACTCAACAGCATTAATACTCAATTACTACAAAGAACCGAAAGAATGTCTATGGCAGGGGCACCCACCCCTTGGCAACTTCAGACTTGTGGACTTCAACTCCCAGAATTCCCCAGCCAGCTGTGACCTAACACCACAGGGGTCTCCAACCTTTTTGGACCGGCGGCCCAGTGGGAGGAGGGGCAGGCGCCTTACGCACGCATGCGCAAACGTGAATGTGCCACACATGTGCCACACATTCCTTTTGTTGTAATTAGGGCTGAATGTGTGCTTTTGTTTTGTTTTTCTGTTTTGTATTTTATTTTTTTATGATAAAACAATAAATAATATAAAAAAAATTGGGGCTCAATTGTGATTGTCAGTATACTTGATTAAGTGCTGGTCAGTGGCCTCTACCTCGCAATGCTGGCTTAGAAGGAACTTCGGTTATCCACACCTCTTCCTAGGATAGCTGAACATTCAGACAAGCTAGTTTCTATGTGAAATGTTGCAGCATGTATACATCAAGAGACCGGCTACTTTAAGTCATCTCAGAGCCGTTTTTTTCAGCTCTCAAAGGTCCGTTTTCCTGAATTTAATCCATATTTACAGGTCATAAAATATACCACTTACCTTTATCACTTTATTGAGACACTCGTCGGCCACCATCCTGACATCTGACTCTGCATCGTCGCTGCACAGAAGGAAGAGTTCCATGGCGATTCCCAACAATTTTGGAAACTCCGGAGAATTCCTTAAAAAAGACAATGTTGCATCTAGTTAAAAAAAAACACCTCATTGGTTTCACACAGTTTCAGGGCAGGCTGGGGCAGACAAGCTATGATTTTCCCAAAAAGTGCTTTTTTTCAGGAGGCAACTGGACTTTCTTGTTTTTCCTCTGAAGACGTTTCGCTTCTTATACAAGAAGCTTCTTCAGTTCTGACTGGATGGTGGAGGAACGGAAGGATTTATACTCCTTGCAGAGAGCTGGTCATTTGCATCCTTTTAGAGAGTCGTTGAGGCCATTTGAAAAGGCCTCCTCCTCTTCCTTCTTCCTCTTCTTTCTTTCCCTTTCCCTTATCCTTCACCTCCTCTTCCTTTTTCTTTCCCCCTCTTTTTCTTTCTTTCTTTCTGTCTCTCTCTCTTCTATCTTCTCTTTTCATCCCATCTTCCTCCTTTTCCTCTTTCCCTTTCATTCTTCTCCCAAAGAAGCTTTTTTTCAGGAGGCAACTGGACTTTCTTGTTTTTTCTTTGAAGACGTTTCGCTTCCCATCCCAGAAGCTTCTTCAGCTCTGACTGGATGGTGGGGTACGGAAGGATTTATACTCCTTGCAGAGAGCTGGTCCTTTGCATTTACCTTCTTTTACAGAGTCGTTGAGGCCGCCTGGAGGTTTATCTGTGTCCTCAGGGTCACCTGAGTGGTGCAAATGGGTGTGGAGCCTTCTGGGAACTGCCGGAAGGACCGTGTTGTAGATAATCCAAACTGAACAGCCCTCTCTCAAATCTACAACACAGTCTGTGGTTTGTATCATTCCTTGGTGTAATCCTGACACAGGCTACGCCTGGTCAGTTGTCCAATCCACCTGTTTATGTTGCCTTTGAGCAGGGGTCTTCAAACATCCTGGCTGATAAATTCTGGTAGTTGAAGTCCCCAAGTCACAAAAGGGCCCAGTTTGACGACCCCTGTCTTAAAGCGTCCTGGTTGAGGAATTCTGGGAGCTGAAGTCCACAAGTCATAAAAGGGCCCAGTTTGACGACCCCTGTCTTAAAGTGTCCTGGTTGAGGAATTCTGGGAGCTGAAGTCCACAAGTCATAAAAGGGCCACGTTTGAAGACCCCTGCCTTTGAGCCCCACAGAGCAGCAACAGAACTTCTGCAGGCAGTTCATGCACCTCATCCCAACAGAGTTAAATCAAGGGAGCGCACATCCCAAACACATCCATTAATCACCAAGAGGTCCTATTTGATCGCCTTGATTTTCTTCTTGTTTTGATCACATTTGTTAAACCTGTACCAGGTTTGTAGATTTCCCTCTGGGAGACTCAGGGCCTTCCATGGTTTTCCTCTAATATCTTATCATTTTTTTTAAAAAAACCACTGTTTTCAGTAACAGAGTTCAGAAAACGCTTGATTACCTTAAACTCTGAGCAACGATGTTTTCACATATTGTCAGGCAATGATTGACTCGGTCTTTCTTGGATGTGGACAGTTCCTTCTTTCTACAATAAAGACACAACCATTAAATTACGCCCACGTATCACATTCTTGTTTTCTAGCCATAAACCCACTGCTCTGCGTCAGCCAGCCTGCTTTTGGCAACTGTCTGGAGGAAGAATGTAGCATTGGAGCTGCTCCATGGCAAGGGCCAGGCCACTTAGAAATGAAAACAGCTGTTGGTGCCCCAAAATGCATCACCATGGTCAGTCTAGACCTGTCAATATGCAAACATACACATATAAATCAATGTGAATGAAATGGAACATTACAATAATTGGGATAGATAACCTTTGTCGTCAGTTTTTACTGTGGGCACAATGGCACACATTAAAAATGAAATGTAGTTGCTTGCTCTCAAAGTGTACACATACATATCACACATCTAAACGTACTATATACAACGTATGCGTACACCTACACCCTTACATATATAAATAATATATAAATATTAATCGCTGTCCATCCTGAATCAAATAACCAAGAGTGTAGTACTTTCTTAAAATAGTTGCATAAAAATGAATTTAGCTTAAGATATAACCATACACTTATACACAGCTGTGGCCCTTTTAAAACATACCAGACGATTAAGGGGGGGGGAGAGTTTTGCTCGCTAGCCATTTTGCCAATAATTGTCTCTGATCCAGCATCTCAGGCAAGGGGGCTAGCCACGATTCGGCTCCACACATTCTACTGATCCAACACAGCTTGTTACAGTTCAACTCTCCCAACATTCTCCTTGATCTCCAGAGTTACTGGCCTGAATGAAATTCCAGTCCCTGTTATTTCTCCAGCCACCGATGCCTCCGAGGTAGTAGGAATTGCATTTACCTATTTATTTAGCTAGAGAATTTATCTGTTCCCGTAACGTGGAAACAGGGAGACTTTATCCACCTTAACTGACAAAGGACCATCAGGCCAAGATGTTCTATAGTTCTTCAAAACTGCATCCAGGAGTAGGCCAAACCTGATCCTTAAAGGGTGGGCAACCCCATACCTATTTCTCCCTTCCTCTGCTCTGTCAATTTACCTGTCCACGGCAAGTCACTCACAGCCTGGGACACACAGACAGGCCTTGGAGATATCCACCCTCCAACTCACTGGAAAAGGGAACCACAGGGGGGTACCCTCCGCTGGTGCCAAAGAGGCTCTTTCGAACCGGGCCAATAAGGTGGAGCGTGATGGATCCTCTGTGTGTGTGTGTGTGTGTGTGTTAGGGTTGCCAGGTCTGCTTCCAAAAAATAGCAGACAAGCGGGGGGGGGGGGGTGTTAAGTAGTAAAAAAAAGTAGACTGTACAGCTTTAGATTACGTACCATTTCATCATAAAGCTTTTGAATAAAAAAAATGTCCACTATTTTGTGGAAAAAAAAATAGTGAACATAATGTGAAAAAAGTGGACTGTCCACTCAAATAGTGGACACCTGGCAACCCGTGTGTGTGTGTGTGTGTGTGTGTGTGTGTGTGTGTGTGTGTGAATTCCTGGGGGCAGAGCAGAATTATCACTGCAGCAAGCCAGGGTTAGTGTTAGCGAATCTACTGCAGGGGTCCTCAAACTTGGCCCCTTTTTAACACGTGTGGACTTCAACTCCCAGAATCCCCCCAGCCAGCCAAGTCTCAAAGGGGCCAGGTTTGAGGACCCTTGATCTACTGCCTGGCAGTCTGACCCAGCCAAGGGTCTCGAGGGCCGAAGACCCCCAGGGGGCGCAGCCTGTCCTGGTGGGGGGGGAGGTCTTCCTGGCCCCCCTCCTCCTCCTGGGGGGACTTAGGGGGGACAGGGAAGGGCAGGGGGCCGGCTCCCCCTGACCACACGGGACCCCCAGGTTTTTGGGCCAGAGGCAAAGGGGGGGAAGAACGGTCCATCCTGGCTGAATGGGGGGGCTCTGCATCAGGACCCCCGCCCCGCTTAGCAACAGAGACGCTGCCCTCCCTTGTGGTCGTAAGTCGAGGACTGCCTGTAGTCTGACCCAGCCAAGGGTCTCAGGGGGCGAAGACCCCCAGGGGGCTCAGCCTGTCCTGGCGGGGGGAGGTCTTCCTGGCCCCCCTCCTCCTCCTGGGGGGATTTAGGGGGGACAGGGAAGGGCTCCCCCTGACCACACGGGACCCCCAGGATTTTTGGGCCAGAGGCAAAGGGGGGGAAGAACGGTCCATCCTGGCTGGGCGGGGGGGGCTCTGCACCAGGACCCCCACCCCACTTAGCCACAGAGACGCTGCCCTCCCTTGTGGTCGTAAGTCGAGGACTGCCTGTAGTCTGACCCAGGCAAGGGTCTCAGGGGGCGAAGACCCCCCCCAGGGAGGTCAGCCTGTTTGGGGGGGTCTTCCTGGCCCCGCCTGAGCCCCCTCCTCCCTGCCTTAGCCCCGCCTGCGAGGGAGGGGCAGGGGGCCGACCACAAGGGACCCCCGGGGATTCTGGGAAAGAGGCGGGGGGGGAGACGGGACCTCCCCCCACTTGCCAGCCTGGCTGGCCTCGCGTCTCCGCCCCCCCCCCACTCACGGGCGGGCGGGCGGCTCCTCGGGCGCGGGGGCGGCGGGGCTGGGCGGCGGCGGCGGCGCCTGCTGGAAGGAGCGCAGCGCCTCGAAGGCCCGCATCAGCTTCTCCATGGCGGCCATGGCGGAGCGCGGCGAGGGGGCGGGGCGCTTCCTGACGCCGGCCCCGCCCCCGGCCCCGCCCCCACGCGCAACGCCGGGCCTTCCCGCCCGCCGACCTTGCCCGCCAGCCCCGCCTTCGGGGCGGCGACCTGGGCGGAGCCTCTCGTCTCCAAAGACTTCGTCCCCCGCGGGAGGAAGAGGATTCCCCTGCGACGTCATCACAGGGCGCCGAGCGCGACCGACCCAGCAAACATGGCGCGCCGGTTGTTGCATCCTTTGAGACTCCGGCGACGTCATCGCGGGGCGCCCAGCGCGACAAAGCAACATGGCGGGGCGGGGAGCGGCGAGCGGCTCGAAGAGCCCCTTCGAGGTGAAGATCAACCGGGAGAAGTTCCCCGTGTTGGGGCGACGGGCTCGGCACGCGGTGGGGCTGCCGGGCGTGGCGCGCTCCCGGGCCCACGCGAAGGTGAGGAGCGGGCGGGGGGTGGGGTCGGGCTGGATGATCTCGGCTGAACCCTTTCCTGACTTCGTCTCGTCTCCCCCCATCTCAGCGCCAGCGGACCCTGCAGAAGGAGTTCCAGCAGCGGGAGAAGCGCGGCGTCTTCCGGGACCGGCGCTTCGGCGAGTACGACGGCGGGATGAGCGCGGAGGAGAAGGCGGCGCGGAGGTTCGCTTTGGAGCGGCAGGTAACGGCCTCCCTTAGGGCCCCCCCCTCAATTTACTGGGGGGTGGAGTGGGGTGAGGAAAGCCCCGCCGCCTCCAAATGCAGAAGGAATAGATAGAATACCAGGTAGTCCTCGACTTACGACCATTAAGTGAGATTTCCCCCCCTCCCCGTTTTACGACCTTCCTGGCCACAGTTGCTAAGTGAATCGTTGCAGTTGATAATTCAGTAATACGGTTGTGAAGGGAATCAGGCTTCCCCCCCCCATTGATTTCGCTCGTCAGAAGGTCGCAAAAGGGGATCACGTGACACACACACACACACACACGGGACATGGCAACGCTTATAAGTATGAACCAATTGTCAAGCATCTGAATTTGGGTCCCATGATCGTGGGGATGCTGCAAAGGCTGCAGGTGTGAAAAATGGTCGTGAGTCCCTTTTTTTCACCGCCCTTGTAACTTTGAACGGTCGCTAAATGAACTGTTGTAAGTCAAGGTGTTGCAGAAAACCACAGGACTCAGACCACGTAATCAAAAGAAGTTGGTTTATTTGCTCAAGATTCAGAGCAATATATTTGTAAGCACATCTGAATAGCTTCTTATAAAAAAACAAGTTCCTATATACTCTTCAGAAACAGCAAAACACGGAAATGTAACTTGTTAGCAGTGATTGGTTACTTGAATCACAGCCCCCTTTACAGCCCCCCCGGTTGCTATGTTACCATAGCTAAAATATCTTGTCAAAGCATCTAAGTTTCCTTTAGCACATTTGTGGTTAGCTACAAATGAGACATAGAGACATATGTGGTTACCTGTAGCAGAGCTTCAAGCTTGACGCCTTTGTGCGACCGACAAATGAACTTTTGGTTTTGACATTTTCCATTTCCTTTTTGCTTCTTCTAACTAATACACGCATTTAAGACTCATGTCCTGTTTTATGACCTATGTCTGGTTTTATGTCCTGCCTTATGGCCTGCTTTATGTCCTGCCTTATTCCTGCTTTATGTCCTGCCTTAAAGGACTACCTGTAGGTCAGGGGTTTCAAAGTGCCAGCCCGTGGGCTGGTTGCCTCATGCGGAGGCCGTGCCCACTCCAGCGATGTGCAAAAAGTTACGATATGTCGTGACACGGCAAGTTTGGCACCCGTGTTGTAGGTCCGTGGACCAGTACCGGGCCGCGGCATGCCAGCAACCAGGCCACACAAACAAGCAAAGCCCCATCCATGAGATGCAGGCAGCACACAAAACCACGCACTCTCCAGTCCGCGGAAAAACCTTCCTCCACGGAACCGGTCCCTGGTGCCCAAAAGGTTGGGGAACCTCTGCTGTAGGTGGTACCTGGGATCTCGGTATCTGAGTAGATCACCCCTTAAACACGAGCCTGCAGTCTGGTGCAGCTGCCAGAAAGGTCAGTGCAGTCCTAGACTACACTGGCAATTTTAAAAAGTGAAAGCACACTTGCAATACTGCACCCTATCCTGGTCACCACGATACAAAAAAAAGATGCTGAGGCCCTAGAAAGAGTGCTGAGAACAGCAACAAAGGTGATAAATTTGAAGCTGTCGGGGGGAGGGGGGAGGGGATCCATTAAAGGCAAGAGACAGCACCAAAAAAATCTCAGTTTAGAGTTCAGAGGTTTTTATTGAAATTTAGAACACTCAATACTTCCATTACTCATTGCAATGAGGACCGTAAACTACAAGCAGTCAAAAGAGTGACGGCTAGGGGCCACATGGCCCCGAGCCTCTCTCAGTGCCATCCTTTTACACCTGAAAACCACCAGCACATGACTTCTGAGATTTTAACAGTAACTGAATCCGACACAAACTCAACTTTCCATAACACGTGTCAATGTTCCACCGCAGTTCCTCAATTCCCACAATTTCACTTCCTCAAATCCCAGGCGTTCAAGTTCCGTGTTCTAAATATGGAAATGAAACAAGCAAGCTTGCAAATTCATACTCAGTAAGATACAGCCGCAGTGCAAATGATAAATATTTTCTTTGAATTATGAAATATGCCGTAGCATGGACTTCAGCTCACTGGTTTTATAACAGATGTGCCTAACTTGAATCAACAAGGTCTCCAGCATTTGCACTCAATAAATTAGTGTTAAGTCAAATCTAGGGAAACATTAACGTATAATTTTTTCCTCTCGCAAAGCTAAATTGGATGATGAACAGTTGCTGGAACTGGGTATGTCTAGTTTAATGAAAAGAAGGACTAGGGGGTGGCATGATAGCCGTCTTCCAATATTTGAGAGGCTGCCACAAAGAAGAGGGGGGGGGGTTCAACTTATTCTACAAAGCACGTGAAGGTGGAACAAGAACCACTGGATGGAAACTAATCAAGGGGAGGCAAGCTAGAACTAAGAAGAAATGTCCTTGCCTTCAGAAGTTGTGGGTGCTCCATCACTGGAGGCTTTTAAGAACAGACTGGACAGAAATGGTCTAAGGTCTCCTGCTTGAGCAATGGATTGGACTAGAAGACCTTCAAGATCCGTTCCATCTCTGTTCTACTGTTACTGTTAAAAGTCTAGAAACCAGCAGAAAGAAAGAGATTTCCTGATATAAAAGATCACCAGACACCCCCACAGCCTTGATTTTTATTTGTGTATTTTCTCCCTGTGGATTTGAACAATCTTTAATGTGGAATCAGCAGTCCAAACTTGTTATAATTAATGGACATAATGTAAGGGTTTTGGTTACAATGAATCCTTCAATATCTGCATGTCATGGCCCCCGTTCCAAGGAAATCCAGAGTTGCAATGAAAATAAATTTCTCAGAAGCTTCGTAGAGAGGAATTTTTTCAGTCTAACTAACACCCCTCATTCCAATGTTTGGTTGTATTGCAGAAAACGTTTGACAAGAAAAATGTATACAATCTGAATGAAGAAGAAGATTTGACTCACTACGGCCATTCTCTGGCAGACATTGAGAAACTTAATGACATTGTTGACAGTGACAGTGATACTGAAGAAAAAGGAATGTTATCAGGTGGGAAAAAATAAATGCTATGCGTTCTATAGCATGCAACTGTGATTTTAACAAGATCTCTAGCAACTCTCGTATATTGTAAATGAAATTTTGAAGTGCTAGTAGCCAGTTACGGAAGAGTTACGTCTTGTATGTAACGTATTAGAATTCTGTTTAATTGATAAATCGGTACTTTTCAAAACTTTCAGTAATCAGCATCATTCCACTCTGATCTTTCCAATGCTGCTCTCTCCCTCATGCTTAGTCACGCTCTCCTTCAATTTTGCTCTAGTAAATTATTCACAATGCTTTTTTTCTAGGATGCTCTAGAGCAACACCAAAATGCCCTTGGGGATATTAATGTGCTGAGTTCTCAGTATTTATTTACATCCTGCTCAATTCAACCTCTTTGCATTTTCAGAGGAATTAACTGCTTCTCATTTTGGAGGGCTCCTTTCGAAGAAAAAAACCACAGAGCAGGAGAATGGAGAGGGTAAAAATCCCAAGTCGCGGAAGGAACTGGTGGAAGAGCTGATAGCAAAATCCAAATTGGAAAAGGTAAACTATCCTAAAGTTGAAATGCTCTGAAATTGAAAAATAGGTACATTCTCCTTCTATAAAACTGAAAGGTATAATTCCCCTGCATGGAATTATTGAGCTTAGCAGCTGCTTTGACATACATGTTCATGACTGTCACGGAAGGCTTTAATATCTATGAGTCAGATAAAATTATTGTATTGTCATCTCGCTTTGACACTATATTTTTCTACTGAGTACTGTGGTGGAGTAAGCAATGCACAAGTACATGTAAACCAATGATCTATTTATTTTTTTTAATTTCACACAATGCACGGTTCAACTAAGGTCTTAGAAATTCATTTTCTCTTAGTCTATCAGAAGAAACTGAATCTTGCTGTTTGCTGTCAGTGTTTTCTAAGGCATATGCTTTGATGGAAGAAAAGGAATCGATATAAATTCCGTAATTAGCTACAGTTATCTCTAAGTCTTGTATCAGTTAGGGTGTGTTGATTGCTAGCAGGTTTTGTGGTAAAATATTATAGATATAATGTCATGGTTCCGACATAAAGAATCTTTATTAGAGAAACATAGCATCGGCACTAACACAATCGAAGCCAAAAACTGAGTTCCCCTCCCCTTGAGCACATAGTATCAAAGCACAATTCCCTCCCCCAATTAACAGTCATAAATCACATTCTCCAATTAGTTTGAAATGCAGGCTTCCCCTCCAGTTCTCCAGCCCGCCAATTCTTATCATCTCTTCTTTCAATAACCTTGGTTCTCACACTAGGTCCAGTATTGCTATGTCTAGCTAAACTCTCATGCACCTTCCTCCCCCCAGCATCATCTAACTCTAGCTCTAACTCTAAGAGTAAAACCTAAGGAGAAGAAAAGGGTTGCACCTCCATCTGTTGTCAAAGCAAAAACATCCGATGTTAGCAGCGTTGACATATAATTGATTTCCATACATATTTTCAATTGTTTAGTTTCCTTTTGAATTCTCTACTTCTACTTCTCGTTTGAATTTTTAAAAAAGAGTGTTCACATTGGGCACCAATTGTACAGGATAGCAATAATATTATTATCCATTCTCCCCTCCCCTCTTCTCTTTTTTTAAAGAGAGAGCGACAGGCTCAGAGGGAAAATACTCTGGAGCTGACGGAAAAGCTGAACAACGATTGGAAAGGGATCCAAGCCCTCTTGTTGCAGAGGACGTCCAAGTCAGAGGCACAAAGTCAAGTTCAAGAAAAACCCAAGGTGATCTCGTTTATCGGTGTCCCCTTATTTTAGGAGCAAAGCTGTTTGCGAGTAAATGTGCTTTTTTGCCAAAGCTGAGCCATCTCTTCACCGTCTTCAGCGTCAAGGGAACTTCCATTGTGGGAAGACTCTTAGAAGTTGTTCTGTTTTATAAAACAATCTTGTGTTCTTACTGCAATTGTTACTTTTATGTCAAGTTATACACACGGGTCATTTCCGATCTAGCTAATGACGTCATCTCGCTGTGCTCTGCTTTCTGTTTCCTAATTATTTGCGGAATATCTATTAATCGGGAGATGTGGTTTGTTTTTTTGTTTTTTGTTTTTTTTTTGATCGAATGTAAAGAGACTAAAAGAGATGTTTCTCTTTGACGGCTCAGAAACAGTAACTGTGAGAGGGACCCCAAAATCTACAATACATCTCCCAAAGTTGGCATCGGGTCACTATTTAGAATAGAATAGAAGCTGGAAGGGACCATGGGGGTCTTCTAGTCCAGCCCCCTGCTGAAGCAGGAGAACCTATACCGTCTCAGACAGGTGATTGTCCAGTCTCTTCTTAAAAATCTCCAGTGATGGAGCGCCCACAATTTCTGGGGCTAAGCTGTTCCACAGGAAGGAAGGGAGAGAGGGAAGGAAGGAAGGAGGGAAGGAAGGAAGGAAGGAAGGAAGGAATAGAAAATAGAGTAGAGCTGGAAGGGACCTTGGAGGTCTTCTAGTCCAGCCCCCGGCTGAAGCAGGAGAACCTATACCGTCTCAAACAGGTGATTGTCTAGTCTCTTCTTTAAAATCTCCAGTGATGGAGCAACTTGTGCTTCTGGTGGCAAGCTGTTCCACTGGTTGATGTCCTCACTGTCAGGAAGTTTCTCCTTAATTCCAGGTTGCTTCTCTCCTTGATCAGTTTCCAACCATTGTTTCTCGTCCTTCTCTCTGGAGCTCTGGTGAACAACCTGGCCCCCTCTGCCTTGTGCCAGATACTGGAAGACTGCTATCATGTCTCCCCTATTTCTTCTTTTCTTTAGACTGGCCAAGCCCAAGTCCTGCAGCCGTTCTTCGTATATTTCTAAAGTGACGAAAAGGGGGGGAAAATACTAAATGTATTGCTAGGATCAAATGCTTGCCATGTGTCATCATGAAATAAAAATGCTTTGCATGAACGATCTGCAGAGTTTATTTTGATTTTCTACTTACCAAAGTTCGTTCTGTTTGACAACGCCGTCCAAGAACTACCATTATTGTGCATTTGTTGATTTTTATTTGTTTTTTTTGCAGCCGGATGAATACGACGTGCTGGTTAGAGAGCTCGGATTTGAAATGAAGACGCAGCCCTCGGATAGGATGAAAACTGAAGAAGAGCTGGCAAAAGAAGAGCAAGCGAAGCTCCTGCAATTAGAGGTATCACATACCTCAGGGGGTCTTCAAACCTCGCCCTTTTATGACTCGTGGACTTCAACTCCCAGAATTTCTCAGCTAGCCTCCATTTTGTTTGTTAGATTTAAGATAGGTGTCTTCAAACATGGCCCTTTGATGACTGGTGGACTTCAACTCCCAGAATTCCTCAGCCAGCCTCCATTTTGTTTGTTAGATTTAAGACAGGGCTCTTTAAACTTGGCCCTTTTATGACTCGTGGACTTCAACTCCCAGAATTCCTCAGCCAGCCTCCATTTTGTTTGTTAGATTTAAGACAGGGGTCTTCAAACGTGGCCCTTTGATGACTGGTGGACTTCAACTCCCAGAATTCCTCAGCTAGCCTCCATTTTGTTTGTTAGATTTAAGACAGGGCTCTTTAAACTTGGCCCTTTTATGTCTCGTGGACTTCAACTCCCAGAATTCCTCAGCCAGCCTCCATTTTGTTTGTTAGATTTAAGACAGGGGTCTTCAAACTTGGCCCTTTGATGACTGGTGGACTTCAACTCCCAGAATTCCTCAGCCAGCCTCCATTTTGTTTGTTAGATTTAAGACAGGGGTCTTCAAACTTGGCCCTTTGATGACTTGTGGACTTCAACTCCCAGAATTCCTCAGCCAGGCATGCCTGGCTGAGGAATTCTGGGAGTTGAAGTCCACAAGTCATCAAAGGGCCAAGTTTGAAGACCCCTGGCTAAAACTGTTCTACAACCACAGCTGCCTTTGGCAGTTTTTGTGTTAATTGCAGGTTAGGAGGGTCATGTCACCTGCCTTTAAATGAGTCTTGAAAACTCGCTCTTCTCCAGGCTTTGAGTTAGTCTGACTGATTGAATGCTTTGACTGCCTTGGATTTCAGCCCCCCTTCACTGGATCACCCCCTCTTCCTCTTCGATTTGGTGACTCTAATTTATTCACACTGAGCCCAAGTTGTGCCTAACAGAAACCCAAGCTGGGAATTTGAAATGGCTAAAAAGCAGGGTGAAAAAAAATAATGAAAAACTATCCGGATCATTCTTTTCTTCCCACCCCACCTGAATTGAATTATGCTACAGTTCAGTTTCTCCCGGTGTTGTCATGTATTTTGTAGAGATCCACGTTGGGAACGAAGAAGTAGAGCAGCGGTTCTCAACCTGTGGGTCGGGACCCCATTTGGGGTCGATCGACCATTTCACGGGGGTCGCCAAGCAAGGCTGTCCGCCATTTTTTTGTCCGCCATTTTTTTCCCCTTTTCTGACGGGTCCCTTGGGCTGGGCCAGCTGGTGGTCGGCCTGCTCCGTCTCTGCCGCTTGCCAGCTACTCCTCGGCCGGCGCAGGGGGCGGAACCACGCATGCGCGGCGTTCCCGGGCAGGGAAAGTCCTCGACTTACAACCGGCTGGGTAGTCCTCGACTTACGACCGGTTTAGTCCTCGACTTACGACTGGTTGGGGTCGCGTCATTGAAAAGGTTGAGAACCACTGAAGTAGAGCATCTAAAAAGAGCATTTGTAGCATCGCTCTAGGTTTCAAGGGCTTTTATAGATGGCCAACACCTAAGGAGTCTTCCCCGTGGCTCTGCCAGGTGGCCCGTTGTGATCCCGCCACTGAGAAAGGCTGACCGGGTTTCCCGGGATCTGCTTCCCCTGCAGGCTGACCGCTTACGTCGAATGAAAGGAGAGGAATCAAAGGAGAGCAGCACGAGACCAAAGCACATGTCGGCTGATGATCTGGCAGACGGGTTTCTCCTGACCAGAGACGACCGATGCTTGCTGTCCTATGGGGTAGGCCAGTGATGGCGAACCTTTTATTTATTTATTTTTATTTATTTATTATTTAAATTTCTACCCCGCCCTTCTCCCTGTGGACTCAGGGCGGCTTACAGCCTTTTAAAAACAAGTACATAACTACAAAAATACCAAGTTAAAATGTCAATTAAAATAAAATATTATTATAAGGCCATTATTATCCTTTTTTTAAAAAATTATTATAAAAAACCAAGTTAAAAATAACCCTTAGGCCAGTCCTGCCAGCTTAAATAGCCATGTCTTGAGGGCGCGGCGGAAGGAGGGGAGATCCGGAATCACCCGGATCTCGGGGGGTAGTTCGTTCCAGAGGGTGGGGGCTCCAACAGAGAAGGCTCTCCCCCTGGGGGTCGCCAGCCGGCACTGTCTGGCTGACGGCACCCTGAGGAGACCCTCTCTGTGGGAGCGTATCGGCTGGTGGGAGGTAATCTGAGGCAGCAGGCGGTCTCGAAGGTATCCAGGTCCGATGCCATGGAGCGCTTTGAAGATGATAGTCAACACCTTGAAGCGCACCCGGAAAGCCACCGGCAGCCAGTGCAGCTCGCGCAGCAGCGGTGTTACATGGGAGCGACGAGTCACTCCCAACACCGCCTGCGCGGCTGCATTCTGGACTAACTGGAGCCTCCGAGTTCTCCTCAAGGGGAGCCCCATGTAGAGAGCATTGCAGTAGTCCAGGCGGGAGGTGACAAGGGCATGGGTGACTGTGCGCAAGGCATCCCGGTCCAGAAAAGGCCGCAACTGGTAAATCAGGCGTACCCGGTAAAACGCCCCCCTGGCCACGGCCGCCAACTGGTCTTCTAGTGTCAGCCGTGGATCCAGGAGGACACCCAGATTGCGCACCCTCTCCGAGGGAGCCAAAGTTTCGCCCGCTATAGTCAGAGACCGAGCGCCCAAACTGCAACCCAAAACCCACTTATTTATCGCTGGGTGCCAGGTGGGCGTGGCCCACTGGGTGGGCGTGGCTGTGGTGGTCATAGCAGATTGGGTAGGTGTGGCCAAGGTGAGCGTGATTACCTCGACGTTGCTCATGGGGAGGGACATCTGTGGGGGCTAGGCAGGGTTGGGGGAGATCCAGGAGATCTCTGGCAGGTGGGGCGGGGGGCAGGAGGCTCGTCCTGCAGGGTGAGGCGAGGCAAGGCAGGGCGGGGGTGCCATTGTCCCAGGGAAAGGTGAGGCAGGGGCCAGGACAGCTGCTGCCTGACACCATCGGCCCCTGCACACACAGGCTAGCGAGCGCATGGATGCTGGGATGCATCCGGCCATGTGGGACCTCGGCAAGTTAGCAAGCGGATGGTTGAAGAGGGATGGTTGCCATCTCCGGGGCAGGGCACGCGTGCCCACAGAGAGGGCTCTGAGTGCCGCCTCTGGCACGCGTGCCATAGGTTCGCCACCACTGGGGTAGGCCTTTCGTCCTTTTACCGTGCCCTGGCACAAAAGATTGGTACCCATCCCTGAACGAGCGGGGCAGATTGCCGAGACCCAGTTCGATCCCGGCAAGAGCCAGGGTGGCGCATTGGTTAGAAGGCAGGATTGCAGGCTAACTCACTGCTCACACTGGCTCTTGGTTGACTCAGCCTTCCGTCCTTCCGAGGTCGGTAGACTGAGGACCCAGATTGTTAGGGGCCGTTGGCTGACTCTGTAAACCGCCTAGAGAGGTTTGTAAAGCACTGTGAAGCAGTATATAAGTATATAAGTAAGTGCTAGTATATAAGTATATAAGTAAGTGCTAGTATATAAGTATGTAAGCAGTATATAAGTATATAAGTAAGTGCTAGTATATAAATATATAAGCAGTGTATAAGTATATAAGTAAGTGCTAGTATATAAGTATATAAGCAGTATATAAGTATATAAGTGCTAGTATATAAGTATATAAGCAGTATATAAGTATATAAGTAAGTGCTAGTATATAAGTATATAAGCAGTATATAAGTATATAAGTAAGTGCTAGTATATAAGTATATAAGCAGTATATAAGTATATAAGTAAGTGCTAGTATATAAGTATAGAAGCAGTATATAAGTATATAAGTAAGTGCTAGTATATAAGTATAGAAGCAGTATATAAGTAAGTGCTAGTATATAAGTATATAAGCAGTATATAAGTATATAAGTAAGTGCTAGTATATAAGTATGTAAGCAGTATATAAGTATATAAGTAAGTGCTAGTATATAAATATATAAGCAGTATATAAGTATATAAGTAAGTGCTAGTGCTCTACTTTTTCCTTCCTTCCTTCCTTCCTTCCTTCCTTCCTTCCTTCCTTCCTTCCTTCCTTCCTTCCTTCCTTCCTTCCTTCCTTCCAGTGGTTAGAATGCAGTGCCAAGCTAAATGCAAAATACGGTCGAGCAAAGTCGTTTGCTAAGTAATTGATCTGTTTTAATGCCCAAGCTATCTAATTGGTCTCTCTGTCGTTTCATAGAACAATGATGAAGATGGAAAGGGAGATTGTGAGAATAAAGAAAGCGAAGAAGAGTTTGACACCGAAGCCGTTGATGATCCCTCCGGACGTGACACCGAGGAAGAGACAGCCACGGAGAAGATGTTTCCAAGCCAGAAGCAAATCAAGAAACAAAACGCCCTCGGAGATAAAGGGGCCGCCCAGCTGGAGTTGCCCTATTTGTTTGCTGGTAAGAAAAAAAAAAAACCCCAATCATTTCTTTTTTGCTGCCCTGATCAATAGGCTCCGGGAAGGTCCGATCCACAACGCTCCGAATAATACAAAGCAAATTGTGAAACCACAACTCTTAAAACTGAGAGAGGAGAAGCAGCCCCACGGGAAGGCCAGCTGATCTTCCACAGCCCCAACTCAGCCCAGAAAAAAAAACAACAGAAGAGTGAGTGGGCTCTAGAAGCACAAATCCACGTAGTTTCCCCCACGAGGTTGAACATCGTTCTGTATTGTTTGCTTGTTCTGTTTCTATTTCGCCACAATCGGTGAGGCTCCGGGCAGCCTCAGCAGGTGGAGAGTCTTTAAATGTTTGAAAGTAGAAGCTGCTCTTTGCTCTGGGCTGGATGCAGAGCAGGGCATCGTACCTTATAAAAGAACGCTGCCTCCGAAATGCCACGGGGTAATGGTTTGGTCCCCTGTTCCGTGGAGCGTTCAAATGAATTATTTCACCGGCGACATTTGATGCCGTGTTGCGTGCTATCCTAGCATCTCTGCTCAGCGGGAGTTTTCTGCCCTAACATGCTCCTCTCACTTTGTGTAGAGCAGGGGTCTTCAAACTTGGCTTGACTTGTGGACTTCAACTCCCAGAATTCCTCAGCCAGCGTGCCTGGCTGAGGAATTCTGGGAGCTGAAGTCCACAAGTCATCAAAGGACCACGTTTGAAGACCCCTGGTGTAGACCCCTGGCCACTTTCAGACTCGTGGACTTCAACTCCCAGAATTCCTCTGGGAGTTGAAGTCCACAAGTCTCAAAATGGCCACACTTGGAGATCTCTGGTGTAGATAATGTTCCTTCACCTAAATATACTAAGTATAATATATCTCCCAAATAACGATATAGCTGCTTTTCCATTAGTATTTCTCACGAGTATTCAAATCTGTGCTTATTCCATGTTTTACCTGGATGGCCATTTTAAATAGGAGCCAGCCGTGTGCTGCAGCTGCCAAAAAAGCCAACACAGTGCTGGGCTGCATTGACAGAGGGATAGAATCAAGATCACGTGAAGTGTGAATACCACTTTACAAGGCCTTGGTAAGGCCCCACTTGGAATGCTGCATCCAGTTTTGGTCACCACAATGTAAAAAAGATGTTGAGACTCTAGAAAGAGTGCAGAGAAGAGCAACAAAGATGATCAGGGGACTGGAGGCTAAAACATATAAGGAACGGTTGCTGGAATTGGGGATGTCTAGTTTAATGAAGAGAAGGACGAGGGGGGACATGATAGCAGTGTTCCAATATCTCAGGGGCTGCCACAAAGAAGAGGGAGTCAAGCTATTCTCCAAAGCGCCTGAAGGCAGGACAAGAAGCAACCGATGGAAACTAACCAAGGAGAAAAGCAACCTAGAACTAAGGAGAAACTTCCTGACAGAACAATTAACCAGTGGAACAACCTGCCTCCAGAAGCGGTGAATGCTCCAACACTGGAAGCTTTTAAGAAGAGACTGGACGGCCATTTGTCTGAAATGGTATAGGGTTTCCTGCCTGAGCAGGGGGTTGGACTAGATGACCTCCAAGGTCCCTTCCAACTTTATTATTATTATTATTATTATTATTATTATTATAACTATTTTCTGGAATAACTTTCTAAAGTTTCCCCAATATTTTCCATGGTTTGACCAGCGCCCGAATCGTACGAGCAGCTTCAGTCTTTACTGTCGGGAAGAAGCACGGAGGAACAAATGAGGATCATCGACAGGATTCGGAAGACGAACCATCCCAGTCTCGCTGTAGGGAACAAAGCAAAGTTAGAAGTAAGTTTTTGCAGTCCCACGTAGAGCAGGAAGGCCTTTGGTGTTGCTGAAGCCTTTGTTGTGATTCGGGACTTCATTTGTTAATAACGTTAAAAATTACATTCCCCAGAAACTCTTCGGATTTCTTCTGGAGTACGTTGGAGAATTGGCTTGTGAGCAGCCGCCCAAAGTGAAAACGATTGACCAGCTGGTTGTGTAAGTACGGCACCTGACGCGTAGGGAGTTCGGCCTCCCAACAGCTGCTGGATTGTGCCAAGCTAAATGCAAAATGCGCAAGAGTTGTGGTGCCGCAAAGACGAAACTCGCTCCTTTGAATCAGCCTCTTCCGAGTGCTGTAACTGGGCTGCTTGAGGTTGCGATTGTGTTACCTATTTCAGAATTCTTCCGGTCCAGCCCATAAAACAGTCAATCTCAGTTGTGTCACTGCTCTTGTTGAGATAAGATCAGTGGAGTGTTGGGGAGGGCAACACAGAGAGAAAAGCCGCACCGGAACACCTGGCTAGATAGAGATAATTGCAGGATCCAATCTGGATGGGTCACCGGGATCAAAGATTTTATCTTCCGAGCTTCCGGACTCGTGCTGGAACCCATGTTTCAGGGAAAAAGAAAGAAAAGGCATTAGCAAACCTCAATTATTATTATTTTTTTACTTTTACGTAGTAATATAAACTAGCCATTTTTATCACAGCAGACCTGTCGAATTGGTAAAACCCCAAATCAATTTTTTTCCCCACCTCAAGCACAAAGTCCAGGAGTGGTTTCCCAAGTAGAAACAAAAGTAATTGTGGTTTTTCTTTCCTTTAATCCAAAAGCAGTCGGTTTGGCCGCCTCTGCTGACTCCCTCGGTTTCTGCAGCCCTTCGTCCATGGTGGGAACCAAAGTGTCCTTCCCTTTTTTGTGCGTAAAGCAATCTTGCCGACGTCAACGTAACAGAACCTCAAAAGTCCCCGGGTTTTTTTTCTCCCGAGTCTTTACCCCTTAAACCCCAAAGAAAAAATGTTTTGTCTTTATAATCACTTTGACTTGTTTTTTTTTATATATATAAAAGTTTTTATTGAGTTTTATAAGGTTGGGGAGGGGATAGGACCGGGATAGGGATTAAGGTTCAGGGTGGGGTTAGGATCGGGATTGGAGTCGGGACAGGATTGGGAACAACATTGGGGTTGCCCCCCACTACCATTTTCAAGTTTTAGCAAACAGACTATTATTCGGGTACATATGTTCAGTTAACACTGATTAATATAATAGTAAATAGCTGTGGTGAATATGATAAACAATAATCATAAACAGTATCAGTTGGTCAATATATATCATTCTTCTTAACTAATATGTATTCAAAGTAACATATCACATTCATGTCTTACTAGTTTGTTTTCCTAACCATTGGCAAAATTTGACTTTGACTTGTCGACACTAATAAGAACTCTTTTAACGAGAAGCAATTCCCAACGTGTGAATTTATCTTATCTGGATTTAAAAGCCGATAAGACTTTTGTGCTCGACATGCAGCGGTTTATCGCGTGGGATGAACGTGAAGCAGCCGCGTCTCGGCTTCGCATCGCTTGTAGCAGGAGATGCTGCTGTTAAAAAAAAACAACGCCTTCCCACGCTGACTTTACCCTCTCTGGATTCACAGAGTCCTGTTCGAGCTTTGCCAGATGTTTCCTAAAGCTGCCGCCGATCACATGAAGCTTCTCCTCCAAGACACCACACACAAGATGGAAGAAATGGCAGAAAGGAAAAACCTGTTATATTT